TTTTTTTTTTTTTTGTTCTTTTTGAGACAGGCTGGTATTGGACTCACAGAAATCTGCCTGCCCCTGCCTCCCAAGCGCTGGGATTAAAGGCGTGCACCACCACACCTGGCTTGGTACTAGCCTTTTATACCTCCTAGAGATTCCGCATTTAGCCAAACCCAGACAAACCCAGAAACAAAAACAAAAACAACAACCCAAAAAAGCACCTCTCATTTCCCTGAGACTAGGAAGGTCCTCAAGGACAAAGAAAAAGGGCTACTCACTGTGGAGATGACAGTTATCAAAGGACATGTCTGAAACAGAGAAAGAAAAAAGTCAGCAACCAGGCCAGGTCAACTGCTGGTCCCTGTCCACAGGTATGGTGGCATGTGCATGTTAGCCCAGTGCTTGGGAGGCTAAAGCAAATGAGTGGCTGCAGGTTTGAGGCCAACCTGGGCTACATAGTGAGTACCAGGCCAGGTCCTAAGCATCCAGATTCTAAGGCTTTAAAAAACAACAACAACTGGGTTTCATGTAGCCTAGGATGGCCTCAAACTCACCATGTTGCAGAGGACGACCTTGAACACCTGATCTTCCAGACTCTACCTCCCCAGTGCTGGGATTACAGGTGGTGCCACCACACCTGGTAAATGTGGTATGGGGATAGAACCCAAAGCTTCTTATGAGCTAGGCAAGCATTATCTTTGGTCTGTTTTAGTTTGCTTGCTACAAAGTTTCAATATGTAGCCCTCCATCCCACCCCACCCCAGCTGCAGGAGACACTGTCTCAAATAAACAAATTACCATCCCCATCCCCATGCTCCCTAGTAGGGAAATCTTCCTGCTCTTTGTGATTTACATATTCTCATGTGTGTCACACAATATTTCTCCTTTTGTGACTGGCTGATTCCACTTAGCATTGAGCATCGTGTCCTCAGATTCACCCTGTGTTGTAACTTGTGTCCTAGTTTCCTTCATTTTCAAGGCTGAGTGCTAGTCCAGTGCCTGGATACACCACATTTTGTTTACCCATGGTTTGTTGATTGACAGGTTGTTCCCAGATTCTGCCTTCAAACACTGATGCTGGAAACATGGGTGTACAAATATCTCAGTTACTGCTTTAAGTTTTAGTTTTACTTTTCTTTCCATTTGGTTCTAAGAATTGAACAAAAGGTTTTGCAGCCTAGACAAGTGATCTCCCTTTGTACTATAACCCCAAGCCTCAATCTTAGTTTCTTTTTGAAACCTTTGATGTTGGTTAAAATGACTATAAAGTAACTGCCAGGTGCCAGAGTTTTACTGCTACCTCCTGAGGGCCTGATATGTGACAGCTTGCAATGCCCTACCAGGGAAGAGGTCAAATATGTTCTTTCTTCTTTTTTATTTTATTAATTTTTTTGAGACATGGTGTCACTGTGTGGCTCTTTCTGGCTTAGAACTAGCTACATAGACCAGGCTGGCCTGGAGCCCACAAAGATTCTCCTGCCTCTGCCTCCTGAGTACTGGGATTAAAGGCATGGGCCACCAGGCCATTTCTTAATTTTTTTATTGAGGCCAGGTCTGGCCTAGAACTCCCTATGTAGACCAGGCTGGCCTCAATCTCACAGAAAACCATCTAGCTGTGCCTCTTGGGTGATGGAATTAAAGGGATGTGTCACCATTTCAGCAACCTCTATGTTCTTTTTAAAAAAATGTATATTCATTTTTGTTAATATTTAAAAAAATATTTATTTTTCAGCCAAGCGTGGTTGCACATGCCTTTAATCCCAGCATTTGGGAAGCAGAGATGGGCAGATCTCTGTGACTTCAAGGCCAGCCTGGTCTACATAGTGAGTTCCAGGACAGCTGGGTCTACAGGGAGACCCTGTCTCAAAAAGACCAAAAAGCAAATATATATGTGTATTTTTTTTTATTTTATGTGTATGTGTACATTGCCTGCATGTATGTAAGTATACCAGTGACGTGCAATGACCAGAGGACAGAAGAGGCTGTCAGATCCCGTGGAACTGGAGTTTCTGACAGTTGTTAGCTGCCATGTAGGTGCTGGGATTCAAACCTGAATCTTCTGCAAGAACAGTTTGAGAGATGCTGAGCCATCTCTCAAGGCCTTCTACGTTTTTTGTTTTTTTTTTTTCCGTACTTTTTCTGCCTCCTGAGTGCTGGGATTAAAGGTGTGTGCCACCATGCCCGGCTTATCTACGTTCTTTTTTTAAAAACTATTTTATTCATTGTTTTAATTTTTTATATTTTATTCATTTTTTATGTGTATGCATGTAGGTAAGTGCACCTGTGTTGTGTAATGTCCACGGAAGTCAGAAGAGGCTGTCGGATCCCCTGGGACTGGAGTTATGGACAGTTATTAGCTGCTATATGGGTGCTGGGATTCGAACCCAGGTCTTCTGCAAGAACAAATAGTGTTCTTAACCACTGAGCCATCTCTCCAGCCCCCATTATTTTTATCTTTTATGTATATGAGTGTTTTGCTTACATGTGTAGAAGTGCACCCATGGAATTAAAGGCATGTGCCACCAGGCCAGGCTCAAGCCCTACATTTTTTTTTTTTTTTTTTTTTTTTTGTCTTTTTGAGACAGAGTTTCCCTGTAGCCCCAACTGGCCTGGAAGTCACGAATAGACCAGGCTGGCTTTGAACTCACAGAGATCCACCTACCTCAGCCTCCTAAGTGCTGGGATTAACCAGCTCAAACCTTACATTCTTAAACCCCAAATCACCCAGTTTTCTTTCTTTTTTTTTCTCTCTCTCCACTATGTGGACATAGAAAATGACTCAGGAAGAAGACCCAACAGTCACCCTGGATACTCCTTCCTGCAACTCTGGGCCCCGAAAGAGGCCAACCTCCAGGTCCTCTTCTCAGGAGCTACCTGAGTTCAGCACTTTCCGACCTTGTCAGTGAAACTGAGGAATGAGGACCCACTTCTATCCAGCTCCCCAGCACCCCCTACCTGCCCTGGGATGCTGGAGCTGGAGATGGGAGGGGGTGGGGAAAAGTCTAGCTGTGGCTTTCTCAGGGATCAGGCCAGAGGAAGGGGATTCCTTCCTCACGGATGGAGAAAAAGGTCAGTGGTGACCTGGAGGCTGGACAGGAAGTAGGAGCTTGGCAAGACCACCAGGGAAAATGACAGACTCAACATCTAATCACCAAGCTGGGCATACTTGGTCTACACTGAACTCTACCCCTTTTCCTCTGCTTTGTGGCTGCAAGTGATTCTTTCAGGACTGGATTAAGAGCACTGGCTGCTCTTGCAGAAAACTCAGATTGGGTTCCCTGGCCCACATGGCAGCTAACTCCATCCATAACTCTAGTTCCAGGGTATCTGACACCCTCTTCTAGCCGCTGAGGGCATTGCACACTTGTGGTGCTCTTATACAGGCAGAATACTCATACACATTAAATAAATAAATATAAATAATAAATAAGTTTCAGTTTTTAGCTAAGGCTGGTTCTGAGACACCATCCTCTTGCCTCTGCTTTTGTGCTGGGATTAGAGGTTTGCCCACTACATCTGGCTGCCTACTGGCTTTTGTCAGTACAGGATTCCAAGGCTATCCTCCAGGTAGGCAATCTTTAAACCGGTAAACTCTGGGGCTCATGTATTGCATGGATAGAGGGTTCTGAACTGGCAATGTTAGTGGTGCTGTATCCTTGAATTGCAGTCAAGGTGCTGTGTGAGAAACAAGAGGGTACACGGTGTGGTGTTAAGGCCCCTTGCATTGTGGACACCGTAAGTGCTGAGGACAGTGAGTGAATCAAAGGTCCAAGATGGTAGGTTTAAGTTGGGAAGTGTCCGTGAGTCCACCAAAAGTGATGGACACTAGCCCTAGAACCCCGTGGCTACCTGCCTAGTGGCAGAAAGTTTACTGGGAAAAGAGGAGCCATGGAGGGAGGGACCAAAGAATTTCCGAGGAGGAAGAAGACAGTAAAAGTTGAGGGAATGCTGAGGCCTGGGGCAGAGCGCAACGTGCTTTCATAGTAATGGAGCACAGGGCGGGGCCACGGCGAGGGGCGGTCCGTAAGACAGATCACGCCCACCACTGCCTCCCGGACCGGTGACAGAGTCCAGGGGCATGGGGCGGGTCTCGTTGGAATCGGGCCCCGCCTGAGGCGGAGTCTGGACTCAGGGGCGTGGCAGAACCGTCCAGCCTGTAAACCACTCCACTCCTTCGCCAGTGGGGGAGAGGCCGTTCTTTGCACGCGTGCCCGAGGGCATGCCAGTCCTCCACGGGGCGTGTCCGTACCCACTGACGCACCTTCCTTCCTTGCCCTCGCTGCCACTCCACTATAGTACAAAGACCCGCCCGGCACATAACGCCGGCCTGGGACGGGGCCAGCACTCCTGGGGCGTATCCTCGCGCTCGAGCACCGCCCTCTGAACCTCGCTCCGTTCCCGTCCTCACCGATCTGCCTCACGGTGGAAAGCGCGGTCAGTCGCGCCACAGCGGCTCGGGGGCGGAGCCTAGCCCTTCCGGGGCGTGTCCTAGAGCCTGTGCACCACCTCATGACCAACGCTCCGTTCCTGCCCTCCCAGAAATGCCTCGCTGAGGTACAAAGCCTGGCTGTTCGAGCGACACCGGACCGGGGACGGTGCCTAGCTAGGCTGGGGGCGTGCCCTGGCGCCGTAGCACCGCCCCGTGACGCACCAGCGGCCCTAGGGCGGCGAAGCCACCTCACAAAGCGGCGACCTTTCTCGCGGGGTGGGATTCGGCGCTCTGTCTAGGTTTCCTCAGGTGCCAGCAGGGGGCGCTGCGCCACCGGGCCGGCCCGTGGCGGCTGCGGTGAGCGTCGCGTGGCCGGCAGGCGGCGCGCTGCCGCCCTCGGCCTCGGCCTCGGC